ATAAGTAGGGTGTTGTCTCTTTCCCATATTAAGGAGGACATGAGGCAAGTGAAGCACTTGGCGCTTTGTGTGACCTCTCTATTGGGACAAGTGCCAACTAATGGGAAATCCCCACTGTTACTTTTGCTACTTTAATCTGTTAGAGATGAAAATGAGAAGTCCTCCCCTCATGTGTGGATGCCTCTTCTTTTAGGACCCATGCCCAGATGGGGTAATTCAACCTGAGAACCAGAGGTTTCCAACTCCTTTGTTAGGATAGTAAAGTTCCAGGTGGGCTTGAAGAAATCTCATTCATACTCATGCTGGGTAAGTTAGGGTTGAACAGCCAAACCAGGAAAGAGTTCATTAAGGTAAGGACTAGAACATGGGTTCTCAAACTACAGCCCGGGGGCCAGATTCAGCCCGCCATGCCCATTTGGACCTGCCATGCGTGCACCCGCCACCACCCACCTCGCCCTGCGGGGTGCACAGTCTCCAAGCGAGCAAGCCACTGCCTCACGCACCCCCCTCACGGCACGTGCCTCCCCACGCCTTGCCTCGCCTCCCCTCACCTTGCACCCCGCCCCTGCCCCCGCGCTGGCCCGCGCGCACCGCTGGCACCACCATTCTGGCCCACGCCCGGCACCGGCACCTTTCAACTGGCCCCCTGGTGGAAAAGTTTGAGGACCCCTGAACTAGAAGCTCAAGGCAAGGAGACTGAAGAAGTGTGCAAGAATTGTGGCTTGAATCTGACATATTGTTTTGCATGATGGAAGTTCTCGCTTCCTTCAGCTCGTCTCGGAGATTGCAGGTGCCTGGGCTCCCTAGCACAGCTTTAGCTGGGCTTCTGTTGGGGAAGGGGAAGAGGCGCATGTGTGCGCACCCCACGTGTCCCCTTCCTTTCATGGCGGGGTCATGCAGGGGTCATGTGGAGATGACCCTTGCGACCACCCCAGACAATGGGACATTGTGAGGGCAGGGGGTGAGTGAGAGAACGGGGGAGGGGCATCTTCATTATTGGTGTTGATGAGGCCCTGGAGCATAAGCAAGGTTACATGAGTTGGTGGGGAAATAATTAGTGGGGGGTCACACACAGCTTCCTTCCCCCTCCAGCCCCCATGCCTGGAGATAAAGAGCCTTTTATGGATGCACATAGCACTGTGTTTTCTGCATGAAAGGCACTCTCGTTAGTGGCACTTTAAATAGCTTTTCAGAAAGACTAATGAAGCCTGGATGCGGGGGAGGGTTGAGAGCAAGCGAGGAAAGACCTTTCTGGTGCCATCCCTCAACCTGGAATATGGGGTCAAAGGGGACACTGAGAGCTGTTCATCCTGCTGGGTACCTGTAGGCAAGCGGATAGGCCACAGAGTTCTCTGCCTGCAGCCTCCATGTTTTGTCACCAAAGCAGAATTGAGTCAAACATGGGCCAGTCTACAATTTAAGGGGGGGAGGTGTTAAACAAGGCTCAATTTTGAGTCAAGATATAGTTTTCACATTTTTTATCTTCCCTGCTTAGTCACCAAGAGTGGCATATGTGGGATTGTCCCATTTTATGCCCATAACAATTCTGCAAGGTAGGTAAGTTAAACTAAGGACTACGGAATGGCCTAAGCCATTATCTTGTGAGTTTTCATCCTTGAACATGGGAATATGAACCAAGGTCTCCCTATGGACAAGTTAAATGCTGTGTCTTAGATATATGAAATGCTCATAGAGAGAAGAGTGCCTCTGAGCATAAGACCAATGCAACTATTTTTGTTAAGTTTAGCACAGTCAGCAACAACTGCCCCATCACTGCAATAAATGCACACATAAACCTCGGTTTGTTCAGGCTTATAGACTAATGTCTCAAGCCCTGTTTTTGTTTTTAGAAAAAAAAAGGCCATATATGACTTAAGAAAAAAGATCTGCCCTATTTCAATTAATATAGGGACACTTGTATTACATGCAATAATGCAAGCCACTACAGGACCAATATAGACCCACAAAGAGTGTTTGTCTTCCCTCTTACCATTTTTATTTTCTTGTTCCTTTTTTGCCTTTTGGGTTTTATTTATTGTTATCTATTTCTACATTTAATTTCTGCTCAGCTCAACTCTCTTGTTCACATCCAGGATGTCTTTACGTTCTATGTCTGGTACTATATAAAGAAGGGGTGGAGAAGAGGAGAGAGGGGTGAGGAGGAAGGGACTGGAGAGATGTCTATGGCTTGTACTGGAAAATAAACACTGAAAGAAAGACAGACAGACAGACGTACAAATGTAATTTGGTTTTACATTGGCTATGTGTATTAGAATGATCCAGTCGTATCAGATGCAGAGATGTGACAGAATTATCATGCCTGCCCCTCTCCCTTCAGTGGAAGAAGCCAAGAGTCAGAGCAGTGAATTATACAGAGATGCTGTTGTCCATTTCCTTATAAAGCACTCCTCGTGCAAAGATGCAGGATAATTATACATCCTACTAGAGGCTGAATGTTGAATCTCGGAACAAGTTGCTGTCACTGGTTTGTCTCCTTTCCTTCAAAGGCACATCCTCACGCCCACAAATATATCAACGGTGGCCTCCTCTGAGGATAGGTTTCTCATAAACTGGGTTCTGACAACACAACTGTGGGTTCCTGTTGAAATATGTGTTACCATGTTGTCTGAACCCAGCCCAGATAATGAACCATGGTGAACAACCCAGCAGTAAATGATGGATTCTCTTGATCGTTTGTTTGTGTTTAATCAACCGTGGCTTGTTAGCACAGCTGGATTCAGACAACACAATCACCTATGTTTCAGCAAGAGAACACAGTTCAATGACAACCCTTACTCAACCTATACTTAACCCTTGAGTATGAAAGGGTTATGGATTATCATGTTGTCTGAACCTAGCCAGGCTCATACAGTAAAAAAATGAAATTAATCCCTTCCAGCCTGCATCCAGTTCATAAAGGGCACAGTGAGACCGCTCTAGCTGATGTAGCTCTGATCCTTCAGCCACCGCCTGCAGTATTTGCACACTGAATGAAAAAGCACTGTGCCCAAACAGCCAGTTAAAGATGTGCATAGGCCAGTGTTCAAGTTGTGTGGAGTCCACACAAATTTGCCCTTCCCTTACTGAGATCTCTTATTCCCATGCTCCATGTACACAGGCATGTCATTTTAGTCCCTTGGATAACATTTGGATATAAGAGGAATGTTTGGAAGCACTGAATGCAGTAGCCTTCCTGAGATCAGGTACTTGACAGGGTTAATCGGTGCTCAACGCACTGCACCAATTCCATTTTTCATGTATGGATGCCGTCTGGCTTCTGCTGTTGCTGGAGCTGAAGGACATTACATGTAGTGTTGATTACATGGGAATGCTGTCCCAATTAGCAGTGCCGGAGCAGCGATTTCTTCCTCTTGGCCCAACCAATCAGTATTTTGTGCATAAGCAGGCAGCCCACAGGTTGCCTATTGCAGATCTATATTGCAGACCCCCCCCCCATTGTTTTTGTTTATGTGATTTTTAGTGGGCTGCTCCTGAAGTTATTCAGGATCCATCTTTTTCCTGCATTTGTAGCATTAAAATCTTCACAGGCAGTGGAAAAAGCAGGTGTGCAGGTTAGAAACTAAATCCCAGAGAAAGGCTAGGTAGAGGAGACGGAGCTTACACCTGCACTTTCGGCAGTTGCAGACATGATGGTGAGGTCTTGGCAGCCCTGGTCCCACTTTCTCCACCATGCCCTGGATGTTCACGTGAAGGAATTCATTTGAATACCCCTTCAAACACATCCTTTTGGGGTAGAAGGGCGAAGTGTGCCACCAGTTTTAACTCAAGAGAGAAATAGTTTTGGCTACCAGATGTGAGGAATGCTGTATAAGATCTTTTCAAAGGAGGCCCTGCTGCGTGCTCCCACTCTTTTAGGACTGCAGTTGGCAATGGTGTGATCGTGGGCGTTCTCTGTCGAGGCCAAGCCTTAGCCTTGGAATTCTGTTCCTTGGGAAGCCTCTTTGGTTGGTTCCTTTCCATCTAATCATGAGAAAGCTTGGTTAAAGCCTTCCTGTTTAATAGGACTTAGAGACTGCTATTTTAGTGCACATAGAAGATTTTAAGGATTTTATTGCACTGATGTTTACTACCATTAGCAGCTTGAATATACAGCAGGACCCCTGTATCCGTGGGGATAGATTCCAAGCCCTCCCAGTGGATGCCTGAAATCGTAGATAATAGCTAATACTATATACTGTACATATGCATTGCTTTTTTCACAGTTTCACAGATAGAAGATTTCTACTGTATATCCTAGCAACCTCAGCATCTGATTTTTCCCCTTTCCCTATTAAATTGAGAATTTTCACTTAAAGGAAGTACTTTATGACTTCTCTTTGGCATTTTGTGGCACTTTATGACTTCTCTTTCAGGCCAAAGCCAATTGGGGTTAAGTGAAAACACAGTAACTGAGCCAGCAGATACGGGGGCCCTGCTGTGTTACCCCCTCCCCCCCCCCCCCCCTTTCTTCCTCTTGTGAGGAACCCACCATGACTTACTCTATTCTCCTCCACTCCATTTTTATCCCTGCAACAACAAACCTCTGGGGCAGGTTAGGCTGAACATGAGTGACTAGCCGAAGTCACCCAGTGAGTCTCATGATCAGGGGGGGACTAGAACGCAGATACCCCAGTTCAGCACTCTAAGCACCATACTGCACTGAGGTTTGTGCTGTTTTGCTCCGTGTGTTGCACGGAACGCAGGCCCTGGCGAGCCCAAAATTACCGGAGGAGTGATGACTAAACGGCAAGTTTAAATAAATAAACTGATAGAAAACAGGGCCTTCATGTCAAGTGGCTGCACGTGTCTGATCAGCAGATCCTGGTGACCAGCAGCAAGGGTGTGGCAGACACTGTCTTGCCCTTCTTCTCCAGGTAGCAGCTTCGTGGTGACTGAGTAATGGGCCAGATGAATCCTTTCTGTGAGTCAGCAGGTCTTGCCTCCTTGCAGCGAAAGTTCTTCCTTTCCATTTCTGACCTCTTGGCTGTTTTCTCCTACAGGGTACATCCCTAGCTACTTGGACAAAGATGAGCAGTGTGTTGTTTGTGGAGACAAAGCCACAGGATACCACTACCGATGTATTACCTGTGAAGGCTGCAAGGTACTAATTGCTTTGGAAGGGACATCATAGCCAGAGTATGCCACACTAGAGTGGCTCATTCTCTCTTTTGACATTGCCTCTGCAATCAGTCAGATCACGTCATAATCCCGGATGGCTGCCTAAACTGACACAGTGCTGGGGTCAGTGCTTTGGATACAGGAAATGATAGGAGTTTGGCCTTCATTCACTGGGGAAATGGGAAGGAGAACCTGGATCAAGTGAGGACTCTAGTAGAGCATTTGGGGATACCTGAGCAAACAGAAGAATGAAGTATTACGGTGTATCTCTGTGGACAACAAAGCTGGAAGGGGTGAAGCCCGCTTTGGTGGTGATAGAAGTTAAGGGAGCCAATATTTTTCATGGCCCCAAGTTACATTTTTGAAGTTTCTACATATTTATAAACACACTTCTGCTTCACACTGACCTTCTGTCAGCCTCTGTCATTGCCCCTCCCCTTCCAAAATTCTGCAAATGGTATTACTTATTTATTTGTCACATCAATATCTTGCTTTTCCTCCAAGGAACCTGGAGTAGTGTATGCATGGGCTTACCTGGTTTTATTTCCACATGATTAATCTAAGTGATAGTGACTTGCCCAAGACTATGCAATGAGTTTCTTCACTGAGAACTCTTATTAATGGGAGGCCAAGGGGAGCCATTTGGACCTTCCACAAAGGCACCAAAAGGTCCCAGGGTGGCCCTGGCTATTCATCTTGGATCAGAACACTAGGAAAAGAATACACAGACCAAACTTCTAGTATTAACACAGTCTGCCACCATTGGGCCTAACTCTCTGTAGATAAAAAAAATGGTGTCATTCTGACTCTAAGGTGAAAGCACTATGGGTATCAGTGACTAGAGTAGGAAAAAAATCAATTTTATATTGGAGGTCCCAATAGGACTGCAGCAAGATTGTACTTGCTTAGCTAGGACATAGGAACTGATAGGCAGGTGACCTTTGGCAGTGGAAGGATAGGGACCTGCCTTCCAAGGGCTGCCTGATTCAGGTTGTATCCTCCTTTCTGTAGGGCTTTTTTCGGCGGACGATCCAAAAGAACCTGCACCCAACGTACTCCTGCAAGTATGATGGCTCCTGCATCATTGACAAGATCACCCGCAACCAGTGCCAGCTTTGCCGATTCAAGAAGTGCATTGCCGTTGGCATGGCCATGGACTGTAAGGGCATTGCGCCCACTGTGGAGGGATGTGGGGTTTGGGGGAAAGGGGAAAAGAGCCATTGCAGCAGCTGATCGGGGACCGGTGGAAAGGAATGTGGCCAAGAATGTGGCCAGCATGTGCCAGGTATAACCAGGGGTAACCAGGGCTGGGAGATACATTGCTTTAGTGCCTAGAATTGCATGTTTGCATCTTTGAATACCCACCTGTAGGCCCTTGATCTGGTATGGGAGCAATTCCAGAGTTCCATAGGGTATCAGAGGAGTCAACCAGCCATGTTTTCCAAAAGGCCATTTGGCACATTGGTAGTGGCCAAATGGGTCACAGAAAGCAAGAGGTGTCTTGCAGAGTTCTGAATAGCCCTCCCCACTCACACCTCTCCATTCTTCACCACCCCCTAGTGGTGCTGGATGACTCCAAGAGGGTAGCCAAGAGGAAGCTGATTGAAGAGAACCGGGAGAGGCGGCGCAAAGAAGAGATGATGAAATCGCTTCAGCATCGGCCAGAGCCAACTACAGAGGAGTGGGATCTGATCCAGATTGCCACGGAGGCACACCGCAGTACCAATGCCCAAGGCAGCCACTGGAAACAGAAGCGGAAATTCCTGGTAAATAGTGGCAGTGGGTAGGAAAGACAGAACTCCCCCCGGCATTGTGCATATTTAATTGGCATCCTGATGATCGCTGCTTCTCATCCTTTCCTTGCGGATAGTATTTCTTAGCCATCCTCCTGTTTCCAATTGCCTGCAACTTTCTCTCCTCCTCTTCTCATCCCTTGCAAAAAAATGATAAAAATGCCTAGTTAAATAAGCAGATACGTGCACATCTTTCTTTGCATCAGGGTTGCAGTTGCACCGCAGAGAACTGGAGGACAGTGTGGTTAGTGCCTAGTTCAGGTGACAGAATCCACAAGACATATCCAGCCCTCCAGAGCGTTCACTGCAGCCCCGTGAGAGTCCAGGCATGCACCGACCCTTTTTCCAGCTCTGCAGTAGCTTTACTTTGGTGCATTAACCAGAACCGCACCTAAGTACTCTGAGCATAGTCACACCGTAGGTTTGTCTAAGGAGAATACGATTGTGGCAGTTTCGCCTTTTTCACAGTGGCTGCATGCTTGGTTGACATTTTCACCAAACTGTCCCCCACAACCCCAAGATCGCTTTCTTAATCACCACTTACACAGATCCCATCAGCTTATACTTGAAGTTGGGATTTTTTTGCCCCAAGGTGTGTTACTTTACTTTTGCTTACCTTGAACTTTATTTGCAATTTTGATTCATAGCTTGGAGAGAGCCTTTGGAGCTATTCACAACCCTTTTTTTGTTTTAAACACCCTAAAAAAATTGGTATCATCAGCAAACCTGACCATTTAACTGCTTGTTACATTCCCTGTTTGTATTGCAGTGGGGCTGTTTGCAGGTAATGGCAGCAAATTGTGCATTAATGAACCCTAACATTTGCTGTGTTGTGTGCCAGTCTTTCTGAATATTCAACCCTGGTCAGCCTGATTGGGGTTTGCCACATAACATCTGAACCTAGATGCTATATGGTAATTGTAGGCTAACCAACTCCCAGGTAACCAGACTACTAATTGTAAGTTAACTGTGGATTGATTGACCCATGATTAGACTATAGGGTCTAAGTTTGGACCTTACAGGGCAACCCCCAGTTAGTCCAATCAAGATTGCATATTCAAAACTGAGACAAAAAATAACTAGCCTGTGCTGGGACAAACCATGGTTTAATGGACACATGATTGCTGCCATTCCATGCAATCTGAGTCAATGTTACACATCTCCTAGTTTTTCCAGTGTCCTGCCACTCTCATTTTCAAGAATACAAGCAAAGAAGAAAAACATGAACACTGGACAGAGCCTGGACTGCGTGTGCTTGGTCCCAGCCCGTTTAAGTTAGTTCAGATTCTGCGCCAAGTAAAGCTAAATTCTGTACCCAAACTTGCATTCTGCCCTCCCAGAAAATCACAACAGCCACACAGACCTTTGCATGTCGTTTAGGTAACGAGGAGTTATTCCTTAATATGCTTTAGCAACCCTACTATCTGAGAAATATTAGGGAAGAATTAGAACACCTCCCCACTTGCCTCAGCAATTCCAAATAACTGTTTGACAAGGATGTTCTATGCTACCTGCATGAAATCAGTTACACTGTCCTAGATGTCCTCAAAGAAATCTTAGGAATTGCAGTTTTGTGAGGCTGCTGAGTGATAATTGAAGGAACTCTCCAGTTGCCTTGAAGAATGGGAGCCCCTCTCATTTCTTGTTTGCAAACCAGCACTAGGGCTGTGTGTCGGGACTCCCCGGGAGTTGTGCAGGCACCCCCCACCCCTGAATTCCCCGAGCGAGCTTAGTGCCCTATTAATGAATTGCTTATGACATCCATCCAGGCCAAAAGGTTTCAGTCAAGTTGTTTGTTTGTTTGTTTAATGTTTGTATGGCCAATAGCTGAGGCTATTGTGAGGAGGCAAGTTCCCACACTGCTCTTTTCAGTATATGCTTAGAGATGAAGTGTGTTTGTGTGTGCAGGGGGGCGCAGGTATTTAACTGCATTAGTTATCTGTGAATATGGGACTGGTGTAACAGCAGTTGCTACGGATGAATTAATGCAGAGCAAGAGCCTCCTTATGGGATTATTCAGAGAGTGACAAAAAGGAGAGATTTCTGTCTTCCCTTTCACATTTGAGCTCAGTTTTTAAGGCTGCAGTGGCTGCGTGTTCTCTTTTACATAGCATAGCATTTCATGGCTTTAATAGCAGGCCCTGAAATGTTTTTTTAAAGGAAAAAAACCACATTCCATACAGTCCTTTAGGGTAGGCAGTTCCCCTCCCCCCCCAAAAGCATTTCCTGCATACCAAAAGGAAAAGATTTGTGTGTGGGGGGGTTACTTACAGTGCTCCCTCTCTGGGAGGGCTGGCTTCCCACTTTTGAGAGGTCACTCTATTTTTGAGGCAATAGTTTGGAAGCTGGAGCACCCGGTCACCTCACCGTTGATGAGGCTGTGTTAACAAATATGGTATTGCCTTGCAGAAATAACTTCTCCAGTATGGAGCACATACTTGAGTGACAGGGAGGAAAATGATTGCACTTCCTGGAAGTTTCCCTCAGGAGACCAATCGTCTTTTGCCTTTCAGGAATGCCCATGAGAGAGCGCTGTGGCTTCAGTGCAGCTACAGTTAACCGTAATGGCTAGGTTGTGTTAAAAACAGCAGAGATGCTTTGCCACAACTAACATTGGTTTCAATTAGACCCAGACACCTGATTCACACAACAGCGGATCAGCTGGCAAAAGCTGCTGCTGAGTTGAAAGACTTCATAGTTCAGATGAATTCTAGGGGGAAGTGCTGCTTATACAAATGGTGGTGGTGATCATACTCTCATAATTCGCTATACATAGACATCAGGCATGCTAGGAAGAAGCGTTCTAAACTCCCCAACATACTAGAATTCTGTAGCCTTAAAGAACGTATGTTGAACAACCTAACATTTAACAAATCATGGGTTGTTTGTGAGTGTGCTTTCTGAAATAACCAGGTATTACAGCATTGTTCTTGAGACATTCAAACCTAGTATTCTGGCTTGTTTGGGGTTAAACAACCCACAGTTTAGTAGTTAAATTTTTAAGGTTAAACAGCCCAAAGTGCCAGGTTTGCCCTTCGTGGCATCAAAACAGGATTGCTTTGGAAGGAGGAAGTGGCAAGCAGATGGGGAGGCAGTTTGCTTCTGTGTGACCATGCAGTTTTCTGGGTTGTTTAACCAAGGAATTGGCATGACATATGCTCTTTTTTGTTTTTCCACAATCTATAGTTGTTGTCTCTCTTTAGCTGTTTCAAACTAGCCCTTAATCACAATTCCATGCAGCTAGATTAGCATAAAGGATATAATTTTCCTTTCTTTCATTGATTCACATTTGGTAGAACAAGAAAAGCCTTGGCCAATTTTGTTTTGGAGATCAGATGTGGCCCATGAACTATGAGTTGGTCAACCCTAACTTATATCTTATTTTAAAAGTAATTTGAATGCTATTAAACATTTTTAATGTTTACATCTCCTTTTAAAGGGAGTACTGATTTGAACTAATTTTGGGGGTCCATATGGTTATTCCCCTTTAATAGGTGAGCTTTTAAAACATTTGTTACTTAGTGTATTATATATACATACAATGTCCAGTCAATGTTTAAGTCTCTATTATTTCAGGGGGAGAGACTATTAATCTGCTAAATGAAATCTATTATAAAGTGTTTTAACATTAGTTGCTCCCTTGCTATTTAAAATGTACTTGCCCCCTTTCCAGGGTGTTGTATATGTTAGAATCAACATGTTTTAGTTGAGAATATTTGTAGCCCATCCTCAGACTTAGCAGTGGTGGTAAGTTCAGAAGTCAACATAAACATTAACTGCTTTGAGAGATGATAGTTTCAATAAAATAAAGATTTCTCCCCTGCAGCCGTTTCTCAGATGCTTTAGACCTGCAGAGATGCCCTGGAAGGGTTAAAGTGGTTGAGCAAAGGGACACAGCTGTGACCTCTCAGCTCCATCCAAGGGCAGATAGGCCGGAAACCCCCACCCCAACCCCCTCCCTTCCCCCATTGTTCTGAGCAGGGCAGGGATTGCTGGCTTAGGGTGCCCTCTGCTGGTCATATTCACTCTGTGCCAGGGCAGGTCAGGACATGGAGGTCACAGGAAGTGGGGTTTGGGAATGGGAGAAGAAATCAGAGCCAAGAGTCTCTGTGGCTCATGGAGAAGCAATTCACTCTTGTGTTCCCCTTCCCAATCCAGAACTTTAAAATGCAGGACATGTTGCAGAGTTATTATGTACTCACTGGGCTTTTTAAAACTGCCTTTTGAAATTCAAGTCAGCGACTGGTCTGGTTTTCCCAGCCTGGCAGCTTAGCTGATGCTGAACTAAGCTGCCTGGTTGGGAGAACCAAATGAAACCCCCCATCGAGTTCTGTGAAGGAGAAGCAGCATGGCAGTGCACCTTTTGAGGCACTATTTGAGGAGAAATAATGCAGAGAGACAGTCATCCGCATGTAAGGAATGAGTGGACTGCAGGGTCTTCCACATGCTCACCATGGCATCTCCTGTAGCCTCTGCTCTCTCATCTGTACTCAAGGGATATGACAGCACAAACCTTAGCTAGGCCCTCCACCTCACCATCGTCTGCATTCGGGGTTTGCTTTAACCATGGTTCATGTCTGCATTTAAGACCCAAGAGTACATTTGCTCCAGAAAGGCCTCATGGGTAGAGCGAAACAAGTAGCGCAGGTGACAAAATTCCAGGGGCTCTGAGCTTATTGACGAATCTGAGAGAGAATAAAAGCAAGCCTCTGTGGTCCAGATGTTTTGGACTATAGCATTGTTCATTCTAGCTGAGTCTGAGGGGAGCTGAAGTCCAAAACATTTGAAAGAAACCAGGTCAGGGAAGGCTGCTTTAAGCTGTAGGAACAGATATGTCCCTTTCCTGCTTTCCTAATTGCATTCTTTTCTCCCTAAATGAGTTAGAGTGAAAGTATACACTTGCTTGTATAATGACAGAGCCAAAGGACTAGAACTGAGGGAGTACTTATGGGGGAAAACACAGTTGTTCCCCAATCTAAATCCTGAGAGGCAGTGTAGCATAATGGTTAAAGTGCTGGACTGGGACTTCGGAGATCCAGGTTCTAGTGCCCATTCAGCCATGAAGCTCACTGGGTGACTTTGGGCCAATCACTGAGTCTTAGCCTCACAAGGTTGTTGTTGTGAGGATAAAATGGAGAGGAGGAAAACCTCTTAAACTGCCTTGAGTCCTTTGCAAGAGGAAGAAAGGCAGGGTGTAAATATAATAGTAGTAGTAATAATCACCATCATCATCATCATCACACACATGTCCATTTACAATGGATATTGCGCTGGGGTGGAAAGCTTCACCAAAATGTCAACCCAGTGCACAGCTATGATAAAAAAGACACATTCCATGTAAGGAGTAATTTGGAAAGAATTAGAAATAAAACAACCAAGATTATAGTCCTCTTATAAAAATCTTTGGTGCAACCGCACTTAGAATACTATGTACAGTTCTGGTCACTGCACCTAAAAGACAGTATTCTATAGATGAGCAAAGAGCAGAAAAGGGCAACCAAAAGGATCGGCGGGTGGAGGAAATGACTGCCTGGACCGTTTACCTAGAAAAAAGGGGAGTACTGGGAGACATGATAGAGCAGTGCAAAAATTATGCATGGTGTGGAGAAAGCTTGAGGAAGAGGTAGAACTGATAGCTTTACCTGCATGTGATCGGCTGATTGAGTGCATTGCAGTGGAAGGGTTCTGTGGACTCCAGGCTCCCTCTGCCCATGAAACCCTAAATTTTGCAACAGGTGGACATTACATACCAAGGTCCCTGAATGTGGTTCCATGGGCATGGATTTGTATGCAAAACATGCACATGTTTAGCAACCATACATAGACCAGGCCAGACAATCAAGTCAGTATCCATTTGAAGGTGTTGTCCATATGTCACCTGTTCAGTTATTGGAAGCATTGCAAGGTCTTTTTTGATCCATTGTATTATAGGAGGTAAGCATTTATCCTCTCAGAGTTAATATCAGTCTTTTAGCTGTCAAAGCTGCAGATTTTTGCCAACCATTTGTTAATTTCCACGAAACAGGTAAATAATATTTGAGACTGTGTCAGTACAAAACACACTTGTGAAATAACCTTCTGCCTCTGTCCCCCAAGAAGAATCATCTTCTGGACATTGCCAAAATTTGAAGTTTGAAAGAAGTGTGAGCTGTATTACCCCAAGACAGCAGTTAGCTAAATTAGTCCATCCATTGCCAAAAAGACATTGTGGCATCCCAATAGACATGCAACAAATGTTTTTGCTGAGTAAGGCACAGCCTGTGACCCACAGACAGGTAGATGCCAAAGAAGTGATCCACTGTTGAGGCATTTTGTGGTGGTGCCCAGAGCTGTTCCTCAGATTCCCAAATGTATCCTCAAGTCCAAAAGGTTGGGGACCACGCTTGTACATTCAGCATAGTTTATTCTGTGAGACACTGAAGTCCCACCCCAGGGCCACTGGAAGTTCCATTTAGGCTTCTGTGATTTCACCAGAGTTATCACCTCCACTGTAATTACCAGAGTACCTTTGCCTTGGTGACAAAGCAAGCTCTGTGATCTCCAGGACCGCATCCCTCTCCCAAAGAGCAGGATCCTTCATACTCCATCTCGGAAACATGAGGTTAGAAGCAATCCCCTGTTTCAACACCTGCTCCAGACCTGGACCTAGAATGGGATTGAGGATCTTCCCCTCCTTCCAGGCCAGGAATTTTTGTTGCTCTCCTTCCAAGGACTAATGGAATAACAGGGGCAGCTGGGCCAGAGCCAAGCAGTTTTTGCAATGCTCCCCTGGGGATTGTGCAAGCTTTTTGCTTTCAAAGTCCTTCCAAGTGCATTGGGAGTAGAGAGGCAAAAGCGTTCCTCTCAAAGCAGAGAAGAGGTAGGGATTGACCCTGTATGTGCAGTGCTACATTTCCAAACACTCAAGTGTTGCATAAGTCCAGGGATCATCCCTCCGTGCTTTGCAGCTCTGTGGTTGGGAAAAAGGCTGAGGCTTGTGCTGGCTTGCATGGAAACTACGTGGACCCCGATCTTCACAGCTGTGAAGGCTAGAAACTTGCATTAAATATGTCAGTGGAGATTCCCAGGGTCCTTAACAAGTGCATTTGCACTGTGTGATAGAAAAAGAACAGAAAGAGCTTTGCTTGGTGGGGTTGGGAGAGGGAGGTGATATTGAAAGCTAGAACTTTTATTTCCTGTCCTGAAACCAGATTTTCTTTGTGTGGCTGGAGTGGAGGACACTGCAGCCGCTGCCTCCACCTTTCCATACAGACTTTAATTCTGCCTGTCATCTTATTCCACTCATAGCCTGAAGATATTGGTCAGTCACCAATGGCCTCCATGCCTGATGGGGACAAAGTGGACTTGGAGGCGTTCAGTGAGTTTACGAAGATCATCACCCCCGCCATCACACGCGTGGTGGATTTTGCCAAAAAACTGCCCATGTTTTCAGAGGTAAGCAGTCGGTGAATGGTGCCAGAGAGTGAGAGGGGGAAAGGCGTTTTGGCTGTGATCCCTTGCACACCCAGTGATCACACGTGTGGTTTGCCTCCTCACACTGATTGGTAAGGTGGATGGTCCCAGGCCAGCTTGTCACCCCCCTGCGGCTTTACACTCTCCCACAGAATATTTAAAAACAGTACCTGCTCGTATCATCCTCCAGATTTTGGTCCCAGGGAACATAGTCCTAGGCTGCCACTTTCCACCCACTGCAGCTTGCTCCTGTCCCTCTCTTTCCTATGTTCATGCCAGTGTATAAATGGGAGGAATAAAATGTGAAGTGCTTTGTAGATAAAAGAAATCAGAAAGAAGAACAGGTAGATTTGGGATATTCACCAGGTCCTCTTCCAATCTGTTTGGTTGTCTAGCATCCTAATGTTATCACATGCGTTGACTGGGGTCGCACGACATGACAGCCCTTCCCGGGTGACAAGCCACAGTGTATTGTCATAGCATACGAACGCAGTGAGTTTCCCAGAGCGGGGGTGTTGGAGGGAAACCTGGCAACCCCCAGCTCACTGTAGGAGCTGCAGCCACAGGGACTCATGGCCTAGTTGTACTCACCAGCCAGTGCGCTTCTGGACAAGAGCACCAAAACCCGTTGCTGGGCCCCTGCCACTGCAAGCTGCCTCACGAGTTTCCGAGTGGCCCCTTGGGCAACTGGCACTGGCTGGGTGTCCTCCACTGGGGTTGCAAGCCCCTTCAACTTGCTGTGGCTGTGCAAACGCTGGCTCCTTTTAAAAGGGAATGGCTGACATATTCCCATGCTCCCGAGCACCTAGTGCATTGGGAACAAGTGGGAAAACAAGTTTCTTCTTAGGAACCAAGGAAGCCAGAGAAATATTGCTGAACTTAGATCAGGAAAGCAGGGGGCGGGAAGGGGGAATAGCTCTAAAGAAAATAAATATAAATGTTTCTTAAAAAATCCTATCTAAATGGAGTGATGCAAAGGTGAACGCATATTTTTAATTATTGTTAATTGTTGGATTGTATGTTTTGATTTTTGCAAGCTGCCCTGAGATGCTTTTGCGTATAGGGCAGGATATAAATATTGTAAATAAATAAATAAAAATGAGAGCATCCTTAGGACAGTCAAATCTATAAAAGAAGATCTTGCTGCAGATTGGGTGGAAGTCTCACCACCCACTTTTCACTAGCACAGGTCACTCACAGCTTGGTTTTGACTTGGTAGCTTGCTTCTCACGGTAGTCGAACCAAACCAGGGCAAGGGGAGGCTGTTTGGAGTTGCTCTGGTTCCTGTGGCATTTGCCAGGCAAGGCTGCCCATTGTTGGATTTGCATGCCAAAGATGGCATCATCAGTGTCACCTGCAAACACTGGCACACACCAGGGGGTCTAAAAAGGGTAATTTAAAAAAGGGTTTGCAGCCATGGACAGCTCCTCCAGGGTGCCACTTTGAAGGGACATCCAGTGGCTTTCAGAACAGCTGGCTGTCGAGCTGGAGACTGCAGTCTCTAGGGGGAAATGGTAAAGGGGAAAGCAAAAACCATTCATCATGGTGGAAGCGGGTACAAGCTGGTCCTGGGGTACCTGCAGGAGGACCAGGAAGGAAGGAAAGGAGGGAAAAGCAAACAAACCATGGTGAGCCCAGTCTTCTGTTGGGTGCCCTGTGGGCTGTTCGTAGAACAACCAACCCACTCTGGCTTCCTGGTGAGTTGGCAGGATGTGCGAACCCACCCATGTAATTCCTGATGAGCTGCGAACACGTTGTGGAGATGAAAACGCCAGCCAAAGAAAACCTTGCTGTAATGATTAAGCAAACAACAAAAGATTGGGCAAACAGTGGCTCTAAAGAGGCATTAAAAACTGTGAACATTTGGAGGTAGGAGCTTATTTTTTGAAGCATTTCAGTGGTCCTATGTGCACTACCTTGTCTCCCAAAACCAAAATGGGTGAAGTTCGTGCAACCTACTGGTAGGAAAAGTAGAAGAAAATCCATCTTCATGAGAGCCTATGCTGAGTGCTTGCCTTAACTGAAATCAGGCTGGTTTCCACCAAGGGCAGGCTTTTTAAAATTCAGCAGTGGAACCTCCCTTTCTCCCATTTGTTCTTTCTCCTGGTTATGTTGGGGCCTCCATCGTTGACCTGCTGTTCAGTCTTGGGCAGTGGAAACCTGCTAAGACCATCTGCTGCTGCAGACGCGAGACCCTGGTTAAGCACCGGTGCTGAGACCGCCCTGACTGTACCTCTCTCTGCCTTTAGCTGCCTTGTGAGGACCAGATCATCCTTTTGAAGGGCTGCTGCATGGAGATCATGTCACTAAGGGCGGCTGTGCGCTATGACCCCGAAAGTGAGACACTGACACTAAGCGGAGAGATGGCTGTCAAGCGGGAGCAGCTGAAGAATGGCGGCTTGGGCGTGGTGTCAGATGCCATCTTTGATCTGGGCAAGTCCCTCTCTGCCTTCAACCTGGACGACACTGAAGTGGCACTGCTCCAGGCTGTCTTGCTCATGTCCTCAGGTAAGGGCGTCTGGTCAAGCATTCACTCCATCTTCCTCCCCAGCAGAGCCCAGAAAGTCATGCAGACCATGACTTTGGCAATGCGCCTGTCCATCCTCCCTTGTTTCCACTGACTGGCGGTCCCTGTCCTGCTAAGGGGTGCCAGGGATCAAACCCGGGACTTGTACCTCCAGCACTCTTTTGGGGCCCTTGCCTTAAAGGGGGCAGACTTGGGGGTGCTAGATTATTTCAGAGACCCCTGAGCACTAGCTACAGCATGGCATGTGTGGGATATCTTGGGATACTGGGCATGGTCAGTGCAGGCATGAAGGGCAAGTAAAATTAGGAAAGAGAAGAAGATACAGAAATTGCAACAGATGGCAGAGGCAACATAGACGTGGCAGAAAGGGACCACGACTCGGTGCTGAGGAGTCAGAGCTACGTGGACCACTAATCTGCTGCCGTGTAAGACCATGTTCCTCAGACCTCCCAGAACAAGAAAAATCAGCATCCGAGTTAGGTCCTTGAACTTCAGTTTGTACTTCTTTCCCTGGAAATGCCAAGGAGGAAGGTCTCACTGAATAATAAAGCACGGGCTTTGCACGCAAAGGGTCCCAGTCCAATCCCGGGCATCGTGGCACTGGGCTGAGAAGGACGCTTGCCTGAGAGCTGCTGCCAGTCCATGCAGACCAGACTGAGCTTGCTGGATTCCAAAGCTTCCCATGTTGGCAAGGGGGTAAAAACATCAGCTCCAGCCCGACAACCTGACCCCCAACCTGTCCATCCGTGAATGTGCAGAGATGCCCAACAACTCCCGTTGCATTAGCTGGCAAATCAGTGAAAGCCATAATGGTGAAGCAGGGTCAATTCATTATTATTATTATTATTATAACATTTCTATGCTGCCCCTTGCCGAAGCCTCGGGGTGGCTTACAACCCAATAAGATACATTGAAATACAATAGAACATAATAAATTACCACTAAATACAAAAATACAAAAAATACACTGAGATACAATAATATAAAATTAAAATTAACAGTATAAAATAAGTAAATAAAGAATATAGGAGGAGAAAAGAGAAGGAAGAAGAAGTTGCCCTGGCCAGATCATATATTTTAACAATTAAAATGATGTTTAAATAAAAAGGTCTTTACCTGGCGCCGAAAAACCAGTAACGACGGTGCCAGGTGGACCTCTTTGGGGAGTGAATTCCATAGGTTGGGTGCCACCGCAGAGAAAGCCCTCCTCCGAGTACTTACTCTCCTAATTTCTTTCATGGAGGGTTCCCGGAGAAGGGACTCTCCCGCAGATCTCAAGGCGTGGTTGGGCATATACGGACGTAAGCGTTCGTTCAGGTAGCCAGGACCCAAGCCGTTTAGGGCTTTATAGGTCATAACCAACACCTTGAATTGGGCCCGGGCTTCAATGGGAAGCCAGTGAAGCTGACGGAGGACTGGAGTCATATGAGCATAACGCCCCGTCCCCGTCAGCAACCTGGCAGCTCTATTTTGCACCAATTGAAGTGTTCGGACCGTCTTCAGGGGAAGCCCCACGTAAAGCGCGTTACAGAAGTCTAGGCGGGAAGTCACCAGCGCGTGTGTCACCGTCGCCAGGCAGTCGTACTCCAGGTAGGGGCGCAGCTGATTAATCAGCCGAAGCTGAAGGAAGGCGCTCCTCGCCATTCATGACATGCTGCTGGGGCAAAGCTAGGTCCGTAGGACTCCATAGCCAAATCCAAGCCTTGAAGGGCCTGCTAAAGAAGCAGACAGAAACTACTGGCCAATTTAGGACAAACCCCAAGGTCTTAGTGTTTCTACCAGGCCTGGCAAATCCAGGGGTTACATGCTACAGGGCTGGGCATGGCGTGTTCCTCGGGCTTCGGAGTCCTGAGCACATGGAATCCCCAAGCACCCCACTCAGCTAATTCCAGTCTCAAACTGTGTGGTCAAAGGCCCCAAATCCTTGATAGGTTACTTGTTTAATGGGAATTCGGGTTCACAGAATGATAGAATAGCAGAGTTGGAAGGGGCCATGAAGGCCATCGAGTCCAACCCCCTGCTGTTGCAGGACACCACACGGCACCATCGCACTCAGGGTTGTTGGTTTCTCTGTGGTGGCGCCCCGACTATGGAATGCGCTCCCTAGAGAGGTCCGCCTGGCACCATTATTATATGCTTTTTGGCACCAGGTCACGACCTTTTTATTTGACCAATATTTTAATGTCAATTGATTTCAATTGTATATTTATAGATTTAACTTATTTTAACTGTGTTATTTTTATATTCAGTCATGGTATAGCCAATTTATTTTGTTTAGGACTTACATTATATTATATTGTAAGCCGTCCAGAGACGACAGTGATGGACAGCCTATAAATGCTCTAAAATAATAATAATAATAATAATAATAATAATAATAATAATAATAATAATAATGATGGCAGAGGGAAAGGACCTACCTGTGAACCTACCGTCTATGTCCATCTGAGATGCATCCTCCTCTCCGTTTGCCTTGCAGACCGTAGTGGGCTGATCTGCGTCGACAAGATTGAGAAATGCCAAGAGACCTACCTGCTGGCGTTTGAACACTACATCAACTATCGCAAACACAACATTCCCCACTTCTGGCCCAAGCTCCTCATGAAGGTGACCGACCTGCGCATGATAGGGGCTTGCCACGCCAGCCGCTTCCTGCACATGAAGGTGGAATGCCCCACGGAGCTCTTTCCCCCGCTCTTCCTCGAGGTCTTCGAGGATCAGGAAGTCTAGGGTGTGGGGACAGAGGGGGCAAACAGGGTGGCGTGGGAGAACTGGGGACGCAGGGCAATTTGGGATAGGGGCGATGTCTGGACTTGGGCCATGAGGGCCCCCACCTCATCACCTCGGACACGACAGAGTTTAATTTTTTTGTTCTGTTTTGTTGTTTTCATTTTTCTTTTCATTTTTTTGTTTCATTTTGTTTTTCTAAATATTGCACGTCAGCATCAGTGATTCATGTGGATGGGGAGGCGAGGGCATCATGGATAGGGGTTGGGCCACCAAAAAAAAAGGTCGAATCTATACAAAAACTTTGTGTTGAGGCAGACTTGTGCAGTAGCCAACATTTTTTTGTCTAGGCAGACTTTTAAAAAATTAAGTGGGCAATATGATTCCCAGCTGCCCCTTATGTAGCTTATTTCCTCCAGCCCCCCTTTGTCCCAAAGTTATCTTTCCAGGGTAAGACATCTGTCTTAAATTTTGATATAATGTTAAGAGGAGGAAACCAATCCACATGTTCCCCTCACCCCAAAATAAACCCCCTTGCCCTTCTCCCCATTAAGAAAGAGTTTTCCTGTCCCCGCAGCACTGGAAACAGTTGGCACCTCTCTGCTTTAGCCTTGATCAAACCTCTCTCGTTTAAATGGACTTGATTACCGATATATATAAATATATATATGTTTCTTTTGCACATAAGAGTCCCAGGAATCGTCAGAGTGTGTTTGGTTGTTTTATTCTTGTTTTCATTTTCTTTTAGAACTTTTAGCATTTAGTTACCCTCCCTGGGAGGCTAAAATATAAAATGCACTTTTTTGTAAAAGAAATAAAGATTTTTTAAAAAGAAAGAAAGAAAAGGAACTGAGAGAGGAAGAGAGAGATCCTATTAAATTATTGGAGAGGGGGAGCAAGCAGTGGGGGAAGAAAATCACAGGTGGTTTGGCTAAAAATAAAAAGCAAAAGTACACAAATTGAGGCTCAAGGTCCAAGTGTGAAGGACAAATGCACTTTGAAATAGACAAAGGCTCCCTCTCTCCACTCCTCCCCTGGTGGAAAAACAGGTGATTGAATAAGAAATCTATTTTATTTTGCTTTGAATCGCACTGCAGGGCTTGAGCCTAAGGGGTGCCTGCTTTTTATTCCAGTGCTGAAGGGTGTAACGAGCAACCTCCCCCCCTGCCCCAGAAACCCTCTCCATCCCCTCAGCTTCAGCCAATCTACCTCCATGTTGGGCAAGGTGGGCAGGTTCAACATGTGCCCATCCTCTCTTGCGCTGTCTCCCCTCCCCTCCCCTCCCCTCCCCTCCCCTGCCCCATGGTTAAAGGCCGCATGCAATTTCCCCACCGGGCTTTTAAACGGCCCTTGCTAATTCTTTGCACACGCTTTCCCACGCCACGTGGCGGTACACTTCTTGCTGCACTAGTATCCTCCCTGCCCTGCCCTGCCCTGCCCTGCCCTGCCCTGCCCTGCCCTCTGTGTTCTTCTCTCTGGGGAAGCAGAAGTCCTGACTCTTCAGTGCTCCAAGCGAACCAAGTAAGGGTCGAATCCTTTGTTGCTTTTTTGTTGTTTGTAAATGGCACTTATCAGTATAGAAAAGAGGAAAATGTTAAAATTCACTGGGAGGTGACAGCATCCCTACCACAACCCGGGGATCTGCACGCTTCCTAGCAGTGATCAGGGCATAACTAGCTCTGTGTCAGCAAACTGAGGAAGGTGCCAAGCATTTTGCTGTCTGCTTAAAAACCTTTCTCCTGCAGTTCCCCATGTCCCACACACCCTCAGACCTTCAGCTCTATTATAGCACCGGTTGTACTTGTGCCCATGGGGAAAACGGGGGAGGCCTCTGTTTAACCAGCTCCTCCATGGCAGAGCGCAGGGATGGGGAAAGAGCACTGTTCTGCCCGTGCTTGATCCAATCTGGTTAACCCTTTTGGAGGGGCACTGGATCAAGGAAATCTTGTTTTAATGCACTTCCTTACCCATCGGAGTCATCTTTGCCCATCCTTAACGCCACGCAAACCAAACCCTTAGCCTCAGATTGCACAGACTAGTTGGGAGGAAATCCAGTTGGAGAGTTGGGGTGGGCGAACCCATATTTGGAAAACAGAAGCAGCCAAGCTGTCAAGAGAGAAACACCCCAATGTTCCCGTGTTTCCAAACTTGGATTAAGCTGTCATTTGGTGACACAATTTTTCATTTTACCTTTCTGCTTTTCTGTTTGTTCCTGGCTGTTTGGAAAACAGGCAGGACTTCTGAAGATCTGGTCAGCAGCTAGTTTCATGGTATCCCCACTTTGAGGAGAGGGCTAGAGTATGGTGATAGGCCAGGAGTGGACTGCCAGCAAGTCCCCGTTCCCACAAATGCCAAGCTTGCCTTTCACACAATCCTCCTGTCTTTGGGTTGGCAAGGCCCTGATGGGGGATATTGGCGGGTGGTGCCTAGGAGGCCAGATTTGGCACTGGAACCCCCAGTTGCTGATCCCCACTTTAAAGATTTGCTGGGGTGGGGAAGACCACCAGCGTCCAACTTTCTTCTTACTGTCTGTTTCAACCTTAACGCAAACAAGACTGTGATCACCTTAATGCAAGTATTTTGGCACTTAACGCTGTTAATGGGTCAGACCTCTTGCCTGAGCCGCTTCTTCTGTGCTAGATACATCTTTTTGTCAATCTGTTAGCCAGACCTCTTTTGCAACTGTAATGTAATATTATTAGGGGAGTGGGGTAATTTTTTTTTACACCCCCGTTCCCTTCCTTTTCTTTCTCTCCGCTGTCACTTGGTTTCCGTTGAGAAAAACCCTTTACCTCTTACCTCATACAAGACGCCGTAGGAAACGTTATGGGATGGGTGGGTGCATGTCAGATGTACCATTTGAAGGTTCAGGGGCCGGCGCATGGAGAACACAGCTCCAATTTAAGCTAATATACAGAAATATATATATAAGTATGTATAATTTTTTTTAATTAAGAAAAAAATCTTTGTACGGGTCTGTTCACAAAAAAGAAAAAAGAAAAGAAAAATCAAGCAAACGAAATTGGGGTTGGAAGAAAACAAGTAGTGTTTTTTTTTGTTTTGTTTTTTTAATCACCCTTAAACCGTGTGGGATTCATGGGGCGGGGCGGGGCGTTTCTGCTAAGCTGGTATTGACTAGAACCCCGAGTCACAAATGCCAGCACAGTGTGGTGGTTCTAAGCAGAGCTGGGCCTTTTCCGGTGCTCCATGCAAGCACAGAATGTGGTGCCAGGTACAGGTCTTGAGAGTCTCGTTTGGCAAGAGAGCCATTCTAGCTCTTCTTGCTGCAAAGACAGGCTTGAAAGCCTGGCAGAAGCTCCGAGCAGGTGCTTGGCAGGATTTCGAGTGGGGCAGAGTTCGAGTCTTCCATGCAGAAGCAGAATACGTTGTGCAAAACAAGCACCATATGCAATTTTACTTAATGATTTGGTTTTTCTTAACACAGCATTCAGCTTTTTTTGATATGGGATTTGGACGTTTCTTTTCAAGGGGCAGAATTTACACAGCCCTAGTTGTACTCTCATCAGCTGTCTCCCCAAGGAATTGCAGACATCCCCTGAAACAGTCTGTCTTGTGGGCCTGTAGTTTCAGATTTCTTGCTTAGAATGTGCCAGTTAATCTCTCAAAATGTGGGGCAAGGCTTTCTGGGCGGTCAGAACACCTTCTAGCTGGGTCTTACCTGACCCACAGCCAAAGCCTAACATCCATGCAATAATTTTAAAAGCATCCAAAGAGGAGAGACTTCACAGCCTGGTTGGCCAATGTTTCACTCTGGCATTTTTGTCTTTTACTTAAATCCTAACATTCATGTCCTGTAACACATGTGCACATACACAGGGGATCTTCCTATAAATAGAAGCCTGGGTTACTTTATGCTAATGCTGCTTCTTCCAGAAAAGTCAGAGAAGAAGCAATCCGCTGCCACGAATCACCTTGACTCAGCCGCTGCTTCTCGCAGAGCCAGTTGTTCTGCTCTTCCCTGATTCCAGCCCTTCCTTTTAAGAAGCTATCATTTCCCGAGCAACTAATTTTGCAAGTCTTTTGTAAGCAAGCCGTACTACAGAGATCATGTCACACTTACCACACTTCCCTTCTTGTGTTAATCTTACCGTGTGCAATGAACAGAAAAACAATGTGTGTGTGTGTGCGCACGCGTGCCTGTGTGTGGTGCGTGCCTGTGTGCTATTGTCCCAAAACCTAGGTGGGATCCGGGACCTGCCTTGAATGGAAGTGGTCTGCTCAGCAGAGTTTCCTCCACAAACAAGAAGGTACTCTGGCCTGATTATAGGGGATCCCCCTCTCCCAAACCCCACAGCACACCCCACTTGGTAGGGTCTCCTGGCAGAGGGCTGGAGGGGCTGCCAGAGGAATTCCATCTCCATCAGTGGAGTTCATCCAGTGTACATCTGGATCCACCCCCCCCCACACACACACACACACACTCCCCTTCAGGCAAGTCCTGTGCCACGGAGAGGGTCCCACTGGAAGCAGTGGGACCGTCCCGTGGGTAAATACACAACAGATTGATCTGCTAGACTCTGAATGGCTTTGCAGGAGGCCGTGAGATCTTGGGAGCTTCTTGCTAACGAGCCCTGGAAATATAGGATGCTGCCTTACACAGTGCCAGACTGTCTCCCACAGCTTTGGCTGGCAGCCTCTCCCCAAGGCCTTGGGCACGTGCTGCATCAGAAAAGTCTCCCGGATCTTTGGTGTGCATTCCCCTCTGCCCCCATCATAGCCTCATGGTTGAGGGCCATATTTCTCAGCAAAATCCTGTACCGTACCTTGTTACCCAGAAGCAATAAGCTGCAGAATCCTTTAACCAGGAAGCCTCTTACTGGAGATGCTAGTCATTAAGCATGGAGTGTTCTTTATTCCAGCAAGGCCCATGTTCTGAAACTGAACTCTAGTCCCTCCCTAGAAGAGAACCTTTTGCCATTCCAATACAGAGTCAATCGGTTGTCTTGAGTGTGTGTGTTTAGCAGTGGTTTAAAGGGTACCCAGTGAGCACACCCAACATGCACGTCAGCACACACATACACACACAGAGCTCGCTCCCTTCCCAAAACTTAGATTCATTTACACAGTCAAGTATTCCCACATTATTCCTCTTGATCTGCTGCTTTTCTGTATGCAAGAACAACCGTCTCCCAGCAAAATCAGCTCAATCTGGACTCCCTCTCCACCTACTTCCCCTTTGTGCTCCAGCTGCCTGTCTCCCTGCCTGCCTCCACCAGAGACAGTGTTCCAGGTGGAGTTGTTCCTTTCTCCCCTTAATTCAGATCCTTCCAAGAAAAAGGATGAATGGGGTGGCAAGAAGAACCTGCTGTCTGGTCAGGAATGGACTGCAACCTTGGCAGCTATCTCCAGTGAATAGGACCCCTTTTCATACACTAGTGCCTCAAGTATCTCAAGCCCATCACTGCACCCCTCAATGAACTGGCAGTTCCTACCCATAACTTCTGCCATTTCCTTCCACCTTGTAATTCATGCGTACGGACAGTGAAGCTGCCTTATGCTCAATGAGATCATTCCATTATTGGC